GAGGACCCCTCGCGAGGCCAGGACTCCCGTGCGCGTGGCGTGGGCGGGGGAGGGGCCGAGGAATCGAGGGTGTCGACCCCTCCACCCCGTTTGTGAGCTCCGGGACATCTCAGAGGTGGCCCTGAGACTCGGGCGTGGCCATTTGAAACCTCCCGACTCCGCGCTCCGTTTGCGGAGCGGGTGGGGTCGCGCCGGTGATGGGACCGGGGCCGCCGCCGCCGCTTGGGTTGTCCCCTCCCCCAGCACCGTGAACGAGCGCAGTCGCGGGGTGGAGACCGAGAGCCGGCAAGGTTCGAGAATATTCCGGCGCGGGTGGGTGGGGTTTGGAAAGGAATGAATACAGTGGATGCCCTTCGCTACTGACCCGACTCTCTTCTGGCCTCAGTTTCCCCATCTGTAGAGGGGGAGAGAGTGATCCTAATGGTGTTGGACGCGTTGGATCCCGTGTCCCCGCTAGGGACGTTCCCTTGTTGACCGCCTTGTCCTCTGGCACGCACAGGCGTGCTGGCGCCTGGGCGCTCGGTACATGCATGGTCAGTGCGTCGTGCCTCCCAGAAACCGCTTGAGGGAGGGGAGTTTGAGCTCCATCTCGCAGGCGAGGAAACCGAGGCAGGGAGTGGGGGCAGGTCAGAGCTTGCGCTCCAGACCGCAGGTCACAGGGCTAATCGGGGCCCGCTGGCTTCGGTGTCTGTGAAATGGCCGCGGGCGCAGCGGGGTGGGAGTGGGGGTGGGGGGCGGGGTTTGACAGGCTCAGATCTGTCCCAGCCTTAGAAATGCTTGCTCGGCAAAGCAGAGGGGGGAGTGACGTTTTGAGGCGCCCAGAGGCCTGTGCTCCAGATTCCGGTCCCCGGAATAGCCCGCCGTGGAGGCTGGGGACGCGTTAGATTTCATCTGTTAGACCCCCTCCGCTGCGGCGGGTGGGGGTGTGCACCCCGGGGCGGGTGGGGTGCTGTTTCTGCAGTTCTCATTCTAACCCGGCTCTCCGATTCCCTCCCCTTCTCCTCGTGGCCTCCTTGTTCCCCCCTTTTCCTGCACCCACCTCTGTCTCGCGTGTCCCTTGCTTTGTGTTGGATTCCCTCGTGTGGCTGTCCACCTCCTTCCTGTGTCCCTGTCCCCCGTTCTCCGTGCCACTCCCCAACACTGTTTTTTCCTCTCTCCCGTGGGTGTCTGTTCTCCCCGTGGTTTTACCATCTGTGCCCC